AAGCAATAAGTTTGAGACGAAAAATATCGAAAAAATTATCCTGGAAAAAAAGACGAATTTTACTGCACAATATTGCATATCTATTTATCGATACCATTAGCATCTTCGGGTAATTGTCTGTCCTTCAAAACCACTATAAACGAGTGTGCTAATCCAGCAAAATCTTTCTTTAACAAAGCCCATATCACATGACTTGTTCAATGAATAAATGCATCAGTAAAACAGGCCCGGGCGCAGGAATAAAACCAAGAACAAAAAAGTGAACCTAAAACAAGGAAAAAAGTAAAAGTACGCGAAAACCCCGCCATCAGTAGGGAACTTCCCCATTTGAGAAGCTGATGCTTAGGTAAAGCTGAAAGTGAATAAGGTGAAGCAGCGTAGGTAAAGCTGAGATGCTATTTCTGAAAAGTGGAGACATTCGCGAGCAAATTCGAGTGGTAGTATCAACAGAAGTAATCGCTGGTAATGGTATTTCATTCTTTTCGCATGCATTTCATGTTTCAAATCCATTCAAATAATTCAAGAAACAAAAAAATCGAAAAAAAAGGTGAGCAAAATTTAAGCTTACCCAGGAACCAGGAAACTTGTCATCAGTACGTTCGTCTTCCATGCCAAACCATTCATTGCTAGAATTTAAATGCACTGATGCTTAATTCTATTCAGAACTTCAAAAACTCTTTTATAATTAACCGCTGACAAAAATTTCGCAGCATCATCGAAGTTCTTGAAGCGGAAGGACCGTGCCCGTTTTCTTAATACCAGTGTGCAGAAGGCAATAACGGACGGATACGAAACGTGATCACGAACGAAAGCAGAAGAACACTGGTAGTGATGATGAAAGCAGAGATACGAGGGAGGCTTGGAGTGTCTTTTCCTAACTATACAAGCGCTGAATTTCCACCAGAAGACCACTGTAATTTCGGTGACTATGACTTATTAGTCAGATATGTCTTTTCAGTTATTTCGCCAACTCATAAAACAACAAGCAAACTTACTTTTGTAAAGCCTTGCCGATACATATCCAGCAACGACACCAAGTAGAACATAGAATACAAGTGCAAATGTCATTAGAGATCCACGATTTGCCGGTGAAAGGAAGCCCAGGCACGCGAATACTGTAAAAAGCAGACAAAATCGAAACAGAAAATTTCGTTATAGAAATAGAATTCCAGAAAAAAGATGAAAAAATATAGTGAAGGAAATAAAAGAAGATATGGGAAATACAAAAAAATTGTACTTTATTATGCGTTTTTTGCAGCAATGCAATGCGAAAAACGCATACTGACGAGAGGTTGTCTGTGT